CTGACCTCCAAAAAAAAAAAGAAGTAATTTTATTGGAATACACAAGTTCTCTTTTCAAAATCCGAATAGAAAGGGTACTTGTTATATTCGAATACAATATGTACGTTTTCTATTCGAGGAGGTTGGCTATTCGTGAAAAGTGCACCTGCACCGTTTCAATTTTGAAAATGGCTTAATTTTGAAAATGGCTTAAGGACCTCGGCCTCCTACGGGCAGCTACCGGTCCTACGCGGTCCTGGCCCTTGCAAGGCCCCAAAACCTCAAATGCCCACCCTCCCGACGACCACTGACGTTGAAATTTGATTGAGGTTGAAATGTCTCAGGGGGGAAAACGGGCTGCGAACATGAATTTGGAGGCCATTGTGGACTAGGTGCATTTGGAAGAGTCCCAACAATTTGAAATGTCTGGGGACTTGCAGTCTTTTTGGCGAGTGGTGCGGAGAGGCCCAAGGTCTCATTTCCCCTGGATGGAATGCGGCCAGATACATCCAGGTCGGGCCTTAACGACGGTCAGATACAGTCAGAAGAGTCGTAGTGTGAGTACGCGATGAAAATCGAGGGCAGAGAACGGAGCGGAGAACGCATCCAAGGCCCCCAGATAGTGGGCCCGCGATAATGGGCCTCGCTCTGGTCCACAGCATAGTCCATGTGCATGCAATAGAATGGTGCTTAGCACTGGAGCGAGGCGCTGGGTCTGGAACCAGCTCTGCAATTCTTTCTTGTAAGGGACGCCGGGCCCGTTTCCCGGGGCAAGGTCCCACTTGCGCAAATTAGGAGATTTCGGCCGTTGATCTTTGCTATCTACGGTCAGTATCTCTTAATTCGTGCAAGTGGGACCTAGCCCCTGGTTTCTTTTGTAAGGGAGGGGCGATTGATTGCCAGCCAGCCGGATCCAAGATTGCAAAAAAAAAAAGAAGAAAAACAGGCGCTTCTTTTTTTTTATTTTTGGAAGACTCCCCGCTTCGGCTTCTGTTTTTCGTTTTGCTTTTTCCCCACCACTTTTGTTGTTCTCTGCGTCCCGTTCTGGCGCCTCTCCATCTGTTTGGGTGCGGCAGTGCGACAGAGCGGCCGCAGTGCGGCAATCGCCGGAACTCTTCGTATAAAGATTGGGCGCGGACCGCAAGCGGCGAAGATACAACCCCACTGCGGTCGCGAAAACTTCCGATGAGGATCAGCGCTCAGTCCACCACCACCACCACCACCACCTCCACAACTCACATCAATCATCGCGGCGGGCAGATGCGTAGATTCGCCCGGGGTTGTGTGATTGAATTGTGATAAACCGAACGGAATAGCGAGAGCAGCAGCAGTAGCAGCAGCAGCAGCAGGAGCAGTTGGAGCAAAGGCATATAGCAATTCATATGTGTGTCATCGGTCCAAACACATGAAACACTCGGCTGTCGAACAAGTATAGGAGAGTAGCCTGACTCTCGGACAAACGGTCACAGAGAGAGAGAGAGAGAGAGAGAGAGAGAGAGAGAGAGAGAGAGAGAGAGAGAGAGAGAGAGAGAGAGAAACGAGTCTTGAAGAGAAGGAGAGGAAGCGTGCAGTCATTGTGGGTTCGGCTGGCGTGACGTTCTCCATTCATCAGGCATTTGCGACGGTCACCTTGGGAGCGCACGCGCTCATACAACATCGAGGTCACCGTGCCGAAGCCAATTGCCTTTCGTTTCGTAGTACTTGGGGTTTCATCGTTGTCCAATGCTCCTCTTACGCCGAGGACCAGTCTGGTAATCCTGGTCGGATTTGGGAACGTACCATTCGCCCTATCAACGAAGTAGTAATAGAAAAAGAAGAAGAAGAAGAAGAAGAAGAAGGAGAAGAAAAAGAAGGAGAAGAAGAAGAGCAGGAGAAGGAGGAGGAGACGTGGCACTTGGGAGTGTGATTCGCCCTATCAACGCAGACGAAGAAGAAGAAGAAGAAGAAGAAGAAGAAGAAGAGGTAGGAGGCGGCGGCGTCGTAGCATTTGTGGAGAGTGATTATTGTATCGAAAAGGGGAAGAAGGTGTTTATCATGTGAGAAACGGGGTTGGAAGAACAGGAAATCCTTGGCCTGGGCACCAGACACACACACACACACACACACACACACACACACACACACACACACACACACACACACACACACACACACACAGAGAGAGAGAGAGAGAGANAGAGAGAGAGAGAGAGAGAGAGAGAGAGAGAGAGAGAGAGAGAGAGAGAGAGAGAGAGAGAGAGATCCGTGGTCGCTCGGTCGGCAAGTGAGCTTGGTACCGTGCCGTTTCAATCCGTTACGTTGTCACCAGACGACGGAAATCCGTTTCCAAGGGGGAGAAAGAGAGGAGGGGATCCGTTTGCGCATCCAGCCAGGAGAATCGAGAAGTCGTTACGGAAAGAGCAGGCAGGAGAATTGGATCCTGTTTGCGCGTGCACCGCTGCTCTCTCGATCGTTTGAATTCTGTTTTTTTTTTTTTTTTGTTGTTAAATTTTCCAACTGCTAAATGGCGATAGCGTTGGAAACCATGGCGGTTAAGGGGGATGGGTGCGGCGTCGGCTGCGAAGAGCGAAATGCCCGCTCTCGGCCTCTTCATGTCTGGGGCCCCGGTATTGATTGTGAGGGGAACCTTGACAGATGTTGTGATTGTGAGGAGGGAGATGAAGAGGGAGAGAGAGGAGGCGAAGGAGAGGAGGGAGGGGTGGATGGGGAGGCGGCGCACCTGGACCAAGCTCCTTCTTCTTGCGCTGAATCTCATCATCACCACAGCTATCTTGATGATCACGATGAGAGTCGTCGTCATCATCATGGGCATCATCAGTTGTTCTCGGGGATGAGTATGGCCATCGTTGGAGGGAGATTGCAATTCGTGCCACAGAGAGAAGAGACGACCTGGGCGGCTGTGGAGTACAAGGCGCAGGGCCAAGAAATTGGCGGGAAAGCCAATGGATATGGCGCGGAGTACACGCGTCGATCGGGCAATTCGCTGTTCGAGCTGGAAGCTCTCTACGACGCTTCGCGAATCCGAATTTTGCAGGCGGCTTGGTCGGTGTGGGAGGCACAACAAGCTGTCGACATAATCACAGAAGAAGCCGAGAAGCGGCGTGTGGCAAATATCATGAAGGAGCGCGAGAGGCAGAGCAAGAAGACGGGGCTCTTCTCGTGGTTGAGGGGAAGATTCGCGCGCGGAGGGGGGTGCGCTCGGTGTCAGTCTGCTAGAGTCGTCGACGAAGTTGCAGCCACGGTAGACGTGGTGGATTACAGATGAGCGGCGGGGGGGAGGAGGCGGAAAAGAGGAGAGGAGGGATAGAGCAGAGGCACGAGTAGGGAGTTTAAGAAGAAGAAGAAGGAAGAAGAAGAGGGAGAGGAGAGACAATAGGACGATAATATGATGAAGACGGTGGTGGTGGTTACGTATTGCCTTGCCTACGGGAAACTTGAGCTTTAGTGTGCCCGTTGTATGGCGGCAGTAACGTCTCTCCTTCGCCGTCTGTTTCTCTCCCTCTCTCTTTCTTTGTCCTTGTTTCATTCTTACTTCTCTCTCTCTCTCTCGCTCATTCTCTCTACCTCTTTCCCTCTCTTTTCTGATTATCGTCTTCCCTTCATCGGTTAATTGATTGGACGTTGGGTCCAGCCTCTACTTCCTCAGTAAGTTGAGGCGATCCGTTCAATCTTTGACCGAACGATCGGCCGCAATGTCGGTCAATCAATGGTGTCGATGGATTGATTGAGGGCGACGGCAGCAGTGTCAGCTGTGGGGCGCAAGCGAGCGAGCAAGCAAGCAAGAAAGCTGTTCTCTTTGTGAGCGCATCCCCACGCGATGTGGCCTCTTCCCACTTAGGATCGGCGAAGAGACTCGCTGCAGTGCTCTTTGTGGTCCAGTCGCCCTCGAGCGACCGACGATGGAGGCAAATCGAAATCAATCCAGCGAGCAATCGAACGGCAGGAGGATCTGTACACGTGGCGCCTTCGTTCGAACAACAGCCGTCGGGCTGTCGGCAACAGCTAGCAATCAATCGAACGGCGGGAGACTGCTGTACAAGTGGGCACGGTCCTTGCGAGCGCTGGTCCAGTCGCCGTCGACCGACCGACGATGGAGGCAATCGAAATCAATCCAGCGAGCAATCGAACGGCGGGAGGCTGTACACGTGACAGCCGGCCGAGGCGGGCTGTCGTCAACAGCGAGCAATCAATCAATCGAACGGCGGGAGACTGCTGTACAAGTGGGCACGTTCTTTGCGAGCGATAGCCGGCTGGGACGGGAGGGAGGAGGAGGCCATGGCTAATTAAGCAAGCAATCGAACGGTCGCGGAGGCTGCTGTACACGTGACGCGTGGCAGTTCTTGGCAGTGCTGTGCGTGCTGGAGCCGGTCAGTGCGGGGGGCGTCGATCAAGGGACTAATCGAACGCAAGCAATCGAAAGGCGGGATGCTGTTCACGTGGCACGTTGAGTGTGAGCGATAGCCGACCGCCGAGCGGGCCCATCAATCGGACGGCGTGAGGTTGTACACGTGGCGTGCTCTTTGTGAGCGATAGCTGGCCGCCGAGCGGGCCCATCAATCGAACGGCGGGAGGATGTACACGTAGCACATTCTCTGTGAGCGATAAAGCCGCGCGCATCTACATCTGCATCACATCTACTACGTTTGAGTTCTGCCACATCATGTCACTAGAGCCGGGAGTTGGACATGATGATAAACGGCAATGAAGAGCACGAATCGCAATCAGAAGTTCTGCTTGACCATGGCGATGGTGGAATGGCGTTGAAGAGCACGAAGAGCGCACGAAGAGAGCGCGACGAGAGCGCGACAAGAGCGCGACGAGAGCGCAAGGAGAGCGCGAAGAGAGCGCGCAGCAACCAGGAGCCTGCTTGACTATGGTGATGGTGGAACGAGTGTGGAGAGCGCGAACAGAGCGCAAAGTGCGCGCGAAGAGAGCGCGAAAAAGATCAGCAAACGAAGTGAGAGAGCTGAGAAGAAGAGAATGGACAGGAACTGCATGAATGTCTAACTTGTTCAAGTTTGTCGTTTTGCGTTCGTGGTGCAATGGAATCGAATCGAACGGGGCGCGCGGCTTGGGCTGCGCAAGAAGAAGGGAGAAGGAGATGAAGAAGATAAACGATGAAGATTGACGAGTGAGAATGAGGGGGCGCGGTGAGGGGAGAGAGGGATGAGACTCCCAGGAAGCAGAGCAGAACGAAGCGGCATCATCATGATGGCAGGGCTCGCTGTCGGCTTACGGCATCTCTCTTCTCCCGCGCACTCACAAACTACCGGCGCAATCCGCAGATCGACGGGCTCCGCGCAATCATCCGCACCTCACCTCGCTATGGCTAGTGGGCAAAGGTGGTATGGAGGGGGAGGAGAAGAGGAGGAGGGAAGAAGAGCAACAGTAGCGGCGTCGGTCGGGGGCCATGGAGGTGATGCTGGTATGTTTCTTAAATTACTTCACTCGGTGGGATAGTGCAGAAAGCTAGGCCGGGCGGGCTTCGCTTTGAACTCTCTGCGGTATTGGAAGAACCAAGTGCTGGACAGAGGAAGGATAATACCGTAGAGAGTCCAGAGACTATGATGCCAATGACAATGACCTGCCAAGTTCATGGAGGAGAGAAAAACGTGCAGATAATAGCGAATTAAAATTTTTCCTCTGCCTTCAATATGAGGTGCATGCTGCAGATTGCAGATCCGTCATGATGATCGTCGGATCATGTCGTGTTTTGGCAATACGCGCGAGAGTCTGTCTAGTGGAAGTGCTCCTCCGCCTCAGTGCTTCGGGTATGTTGGAGTCGTTGAAAAACTATCTTGTGAGTGGATTACGACGAAAGTCGTTGAAAAACTATCTTGTGAGTGGATTACGACGAAATCAGAATTGGATTCGACGCGGTGATGATGACGATGACGTAGAGGCGGGGAGATGTAATGGAAAGATTCGTGGATCATACACGTGGCACCAGCCACCGTCCGACACGTGGCAAACCGTCAGGAGTGTTCGCTTGATTGAGAACGAAACGGCAAATGGACATCATATGCTGTTGTCGAGTAGAAGGATCATCTTCGATCTGAGTTCAGTGCTCTCTAGACTTTCTACTACTCTTGTGTGTGTGCGTGTGTGTGGGTGGGTGTGGTGATAGTGCCTATGGCTGCCATTGATTGCCTGACGTCTTTGAATCTTTGATCGAGATGTGGCGGGCACGTGGCGACCACGTGGCAGACACGTGGGACGATCCAGTTTATGCATTTCTGTGTTCTCGGCGTTTCATGATCATCCTCGGCCAACTTCGGCAACGTGGCGACCACGTGTTCACAGACATGCGCACAAACTCGACAGCGACACAGAGAGAGAGAGAGAGAGAGAGAGAGAGAGAGAGAGAGGCGCGCAAGTTTGATTGATGAAGATCTTCGCTGGGGAAAAGTGGGAAGGGCGGGCCGCCAGGCGTTCTTCGCAGGCAACCTGTTTTCCTCTCGAAGCGCGCCGAGTCTGTAATCAGGACAATGACGATGCTGATAACTGTGACGGGCTACAGCTGCGCAGTTACTCGGCGTGAGTTTTCAGGATTTTTTTTTTCTCTTCAGGGAAGATCCATCGCTCTCTGCTGTCCTCTCCTCTTCTGGTCCAATTGACACCACTGCTTAATTTTCCTCATTGATGAGAGCGAGAGAGAGAGAGAGAGAGGTCTTTGTGTGTTTGGGAGACAGCGGAGCTTGGTCTCTCTGTGAATTTTTACGCGTTGTCTATATATTTTTTGTAGCAGAAGTGGATACGTGGAGGTGTAATTTCAACGCAATATGTTTCTCTTACTTGTGATTTGGACAATAAGAGTCATAGATCGATAAGATAAATCGACGTGTTTCTTCAAGAAGGAGGGGAGGGGGGGGGGGGGGGGGGGGGGGGGGGGGGGTGCAGGGACAGGAGGGGATTGCTGTCCTTCGGTGTATAGGCACACATCTTTTCTTCCTGCTGTCTACGCTGTGTATAGCAAATTTCTTTCGTCCTGGAGATTTCGTTTTTTTTTTTTTTTGGGGGGGGGGGGGGGGGGGGTTGCCCGGCCTTTACGGGAAAATGCAGGGAAACCCGGAAGGAGAGGAGGACACACTCTCGGAGGGAGAGGGGGACATTGATGAGCAAGCTTTTGCGCTTGAGAAAAGACGGGTCAGACGACGTCGTTCCTCGAGGCGTTGTCATAGATAGATTTCAAAATTTTCCACGGAAGCAATTATTCATGTAAAACGTGTCATTACATTTTTCAAAATTTCCAAAATTTTTATTATTCGGATCCAAGTGCGGAATCGTTCGTCGCAAAATTTGACGTTAACATTCGGTCGATTTTGCTGTCATTCTTTTCGCTTTCATTTTATCGGAATTTCATTAATGTTTCGTCAACAGTGGCCTTTGTTGTTGTTATCCTTCCCTCGTGGCCTCTCTCTCTCTCTCTCTCTCTCTCTCTCTCACACACACACACACACACACACACACACACACACACACACAGACACACACACACACACAC